AACTACCTAGAGTCCATTGGTATAACAATATTATCTTTTGAGTATTAAGTAGTAACTGTATGTTGTTGATATTATGACTAATCCAGAATGTGTATAATATAAACTATAGATAAGGAAACTCTGAACTTCTTTATTCACAAAATAAGTTGAAACAAAGGCTTTATATTTTACAAACAATAGATGCAACTAATTGCATGCTAGAATATCAGTTAGTATAGAGAAAGGGAAAAAAAAAAAATAGAAACTTGCTTGAAAAATAGTCCAATATATCATAAAAAATGCCACCGACACTCGTATCCGTTTGCTCATCCCATGCAAATGGCTCGATCGGTTTAGTTGCTTCCAGAAGTTCTTTGATCTGAATCTTCGGTTTCGACCTCTGCAAAGGGCCTAAATCGGTTGCTGCCCGACAGTATTCCTTTTAAAGAAAGCAATGGAAAAAAATCGTACAGTGAGCAAAAAACTAACACGAAATTATAACTTACATTTTACTAATTCTTCCAATTTTCATTTGTTTGCTCGGTATTTATTACCTGATCAGCATGCATTTTTCGCACGAATAGTTCAAATACCCTGAAGTTGATGGGCTCAAGCAGCTCGTCCGACAGGCGAAGATACGTCATGGCAGCCATCTTACTGTTAGGCGGCCCGTTTTTGCTGAGCCCATTGGGCCTCACGTTCAAGAGGATTTGATTGTAGCCCATTCGATCGAATCTTGAAAGAGCATTTTCACCTGCAACATCGATTTTTTCGGTCCATGCGCCACTTAAAACCTGCGTAGACAGGGGAACTATGGTTTTAAAAACATATCCCACTAAAGTTTTCCGTATTTGCAAACATTGAAACATACCCTCTCGACTTTTCGAAACTACAATCGCATCCTTATATCTTCGTAATAATCTTGAAAAAATACTTTACTTAAACCTGTTGAACGAGCTGTTGAGGTCCACATTTAGCCGTGGCCGGTTGTTCGGAGTTTCTCATCTCGAGGCACGTGAAGTTCAACGTGCCGTGATGTCTTGAAATCATCCTAGCTATAGGTCGATACCCGTCTCGATTTTTCACGTTATAATACCCGGAAGTCAGCTCACACGCGTGACTTTCATCTTTGTACCACCAGTGAATACCNTTTTTCTTTTTTCCGAAAATTCAAAACGCGTTATCATCATTTCTTGAAATATAAATTATATAATGCAAATGTAAAAATATTATATGGAAAAACTGTCGAATATGAACTTACTTTGGCAGCTAACCTGACTTTGCATCCTTGGAAAATATTGTTGGCTTCGTCTAGAATTCGATCCGCATGCTCGATTAACCCGTTAGAGTACAATGTCAAGAAGAACTTCCCTTTCTCGGTTAGGTAAGTCCCGTTTGGCGCGAAAAATCCCGTTTTGCATGGCGTGTCGTTGTACGTTCCTCCATCGTCCGGTAGATCCCACTTCATTTGCCCTACCTCGGCTGCAGCCAACTTAAAATCTTGCTTCAAGTACTTATCGTAACACTACAACATCGACACATTTAGGCGATTTTTAATATTATCACAAATTTGTAAAAAGATTGAAGCTTTTTGGATTTTTGGAGTCTCTCACTTGAAATTCTCCGATTCCGGGGAATTTCCATCCTTGAGTCTCGGGATATGACGGATATCTGAGCTCCCCTGCCGGACCAAGCCCGACTTCAATGTCTATAATAGTCCCGGCTTCAATAAAATCCGACATGTTCTCTTTGAAACTCTTCATGTAGTCCCTATACATCTACACGTTTCGAAGAAAAGAGATATCTTGAATATCTATAATGCTCCGGTTTTCGGACGAGAATATGATATCTTTTTAGGCTGTCTTTGGTAAACATATAAGCTAACTTATATAGCTTATTTGAATAGCTTATAAGCTCCATGTATTCAAAATAAGCTTGGTTTGGTAGGACGAGATTTTTTAAAGAGCTCGAGCTTATCTCATAAGTTTCTTTGGGTAGTTTTTCAAATAAGCTCATTGAATTTTTTATTTCAGCTATCTTATCAGCTAATTTTACCAAATCATTTTATCATATAATCTAGTTTTTCAGCTATAAGTCATAAACTATCAGCTATAAGCTCGCAATTCATTTAAAAACGCTACCAGTTAGCTTATCGGTTTATTGTCAGCTAGGTTTACCAAACATAGCCTCAGTACCTCAACCGCGGTTCGGCCGTGGAAGAGAGGCAAGTTGTCGACCCCTAGAGACAGATACTCTCGATTTCGATTTCCCGACATGTTTGTGTAAAAGATGTCTGGATTTTCGAATCCGATTGTAAGAACCCATTCCGGAATCGGAATGTAGACAGCATCACCAATGTTGCCACCACATTGGTGAAACGACATTATCGCTTGTACTCTCAGCCCACATTCTTCGACGAGTCGAAACAATTTTCGGTAAGAAGACCATTCGTAGAGTTTTGGGCCTTTGCTCTCGACTATTCCCCACCACACGTCAACCATCACCCCATCGGCTCCCGCGTTCTTTAGCTTGCTGAGCTGGCACTCAAGCTTTTGCTCGTTTAGGAGCTTGTTTTCTCTAGTGATGACGTCAAGCTGGCGATTAATCGCAAAAATGAATGTACGATGAAAATCGGAATTGTGTGCAAAATTTCTATGTTATGCGCGACTTAAAGGTTTGTTTTGTTTACCTGAAGCATCACGAACAACGGTACGTAGTTGGCCGAGGGATCCTTTTGGACATCTATGCTTACATTCTGAGTAAACAACAGAGGAAATTAAGGAAATTGGTTAAAGAATGTATGGATTGTTTGATAATTTTAATCAAATGCTCAAGACTTAAAGGACTAAAACTGAATAATATTAGACAGTTACGAAAAATCGAAGCTAACTTCTTTCGGAGCATCTTTTATGGTGGCTTGATAGGCGTTTACGATTTGGCGGGAGAAGTATCCGAGTGGTTTGCCATTGACCTCGTGCCCGATTTTTGGCTGCAGTTTTTTCGCACGCATGTCGAAATCGGGTAGCCATTGTTGATTGAGTGCCACATTGAGTTTCTTTGGCAGCCAAACAGGTTTTGAAAGAAAAACAGTGGCCATGTATGATTTGTGATCCAAGCTAATCTGTTTTAATGTTTATAGTAATAAGTGTTGGTGCAATTTCAAGCCTTTTCTTTTTCTTGGATTTTTCTTTCATTTGCCGGGTGTTTTGGTTCATTCAAGTAGAAGACAAGTATGTGGATCACAAATGGATGGATCACATATTATTATTATTATTATTGGAAAAAATATGCTTAATTATATTTCACATATATAGTTTGTGTAATTTTTATGCATTTTATAATATCTTTAACATTTATACTTGAGTTGTTCTTTTGTTAGTAACATGGGAAGATAAAGCGAAGAAGACAAATGTACTTCTAATGAAAGAAAGATTTGTTATTGAAAATAATTTAAAATTCTAATTCACCACCTAACAATGTGTTGGAGGTGTATATAGGGTCTCAAACTCTAACCGTGATAGAAAACAAATAAAGAAATAACACAGAAAAATGCTAAAAAAATAATAAAATGGATAAACCGAGTTACAAATGATGGAATTTGGGCTCAAGAACACTTTGTCCATTCCGAAAAAATTATAAAAGCGATTTCGAGCTCAAACGTAAATGTTATGTCTGTTTCAAATTCATCTGACGGATACCCTTCGAACGATTCTCTAACAGCCCAAAATGTGGGATCCATCCAGCAAAAGCAAAGAAAAAAAAAATGATCCAGCACACTTTCGGTGCACATTTCGGTGCATCATTATGAAAAGACAAAAGAAAATATAATAAAATAATAAAAAAGAAAGGAGAATAAAAAAGAAGTGAGGAAGATGTTGTCTGCCAATTTTCCCTATAAATAGAGGGCATTTGTCACAGCTTAAGGCACACCAAGCGAGAGAAAAGAGAAAGCAAGATAACAAGAATAATATTTCTTGTGAGTGTTATTTTTCAGTGAGAGAAAAATAGAGTGTTTGAGTAAATCCTGTGAGTGGGAAAAATACACTGGGTCGGGTATCATCTCTATTACTCCTTGTTTGTAATATTTGTTTAGGAGTGGGGTCTCACTGGGTCACTATATTTTACATTTCTAGTGAAGGGAGTGTGAAAAAATATTGTAATTATCTTGAAAATATAGTGGAATTGTTCGGAGGTTGTCCCGTGGTTTTTTCCTCTACTTTGGAGGTTTTTCCACGTTAAATCTTGGTGTCATTTTTCTTGCATATTTTATTTATTTAGGATATTCTTAGTATGCTCTGTGTGGCAGTTTAATCTGATCTTCCACATCAGAAAAGAATTATTCCTATTTGATTGCAAGAGAATTTTTTTTTTTATTTATTCTTGAGTTGCTGGGATTATTATTTTTATTCACCATTTAACATTGGTGTTTTAATTTACATCTTCCGCATTTGTGCATCTGAGCCTAACAAGTGGTATCAGAGCCCAAGTTGGGTTCTGAATCAACCAGTGTAAATTAAATGGAGGAGAACGTGGGTACCATGGTGAAGCTGACAGCAACAAATTACTCAATTTGGAAGCCAAAAATGGAGGACATATTTTTCTACAAAGATCTGTATGATCCTGTAGAAAAGGGAGATAACAAGCCAAATGACGTGAAGGATGACGATTGAAAAAAGTTACACAGGAAGGCTGTCAGTTTAATCAGACAGTGGGTGGATATCAGCATATTCCACCATGTTGCCACAGAGTCAAAAGCCCATACTCTGTGGAACAAAATCGAGCAGATGTATCAGAGGAAGACTGCACAAAATAAAGCTTTCATTATTAGAAAGCTTGTGAATTTAAAATATCGGGATGGAAGATCAGTTGCAGAACACCTGAATGAATTTCAAGACATGGTGAACCAACTTGTTACCATGGAGATGAAACTTGATGAAGAACTGCATGCGCTGTTACTTTTGAGTTCTTTGCCGGATAGCTGGGAGACTCTGGTGGTCTCGTTGAGCAACTCTGCTCCTGAAGGAAAACTAACTTTGACCCAAGTCAAAGACAGTATCTTTAACGAAGAAACAAGAAGAAAGGACTCCGGGGCAAGCAACTCCCAAGCCCTGGTCACAGAAACCAGGGGGAGGAGTAAAAGTAGAGGCCGGAATAACAAATCCAGAGATAAATCACAATCTCAACCCAGAAGAAAATTCAAGTGTTATCACTGCGGTGATGAAGGGCATATCAAAAGAAACTGCAAAGCCTGGAAGAACAGAGATCGGAGGAACAACAAATCAGAGAACGATGAAAATACCGCAACCCCTGTGATCAATGGGGAAGTGGTGTTGCTCTCTGTTGAAGAAGAAGAGTGCCATGTTGCAGATTCATGTGTTGAATGGGTCATTGACTCAGCAGCATCATACCATGCAACCTCTCACAAGGAATTCTTTTCTCTATACAAAGAAGGAGACTTTGGTAGAGTAAAGATGGGCAACAACAGCATTGCAAATATTGTGGGAGTTGGTGATGTGTGCATTCAAACTGATATTGGGTGCACAATAACACTGAAGAACGTGCAACATGTACCTGACTTACGTCTGAATCTGATCTCTGTGCATGCATTGGATCTAGCAGGCTACAGTAGCGGCACATGGAGGCTTACCAAAGGATCATTGTTAGCTGCTAGAGGTACAGTGAGATCGACACTGTACAGAACTCAAGTGAAGCTGATCAAAGGTGGCCTGAATGCAGTCGAAGATGATGCTTCGTCAAATTTGTGGCACAAAAGACTGGCTCACATTGATGAAAAAGGATTGCAAATTTTGGCAAGAAAGTCCTTCATCCCATTTGCCAAAGATTCAAAACTAAATCCTTGTGATTATTGTCTCTTTGGAAAGCATCATAGAGTGTCTTTCAACAAAACCTCGAAGCTGAAAGAGAATGTGTTGGAGATGGTGTATTCTGATGTATGTGGACCCATGGAAGAGGAGAGTCTCGGTGGTAGCAAATATTTCGTGACGTTTATTGATGATGCTTCACGAAAATTGTGGGTGTATTTCTTGAGAACGAAGGACGAAGTTTTTCAGTACTTCAAAAGGTTTCACGCTATGGTGGAGAGACAAACTGGTAAACCTTTGAAGTGTCTTCGCTCAGATAATGGAGGAGAATATACTTCCCATGAATTCAAGAATTATTGTGCTGATCATGGAATCAGGCATGAGAAGACTGTACCTGGAACCCCACAGCATCATGGTGTGGCTGAAAGAATCAATAGAACCATTATGGAGAAAGTGAGGTGTATGTTAAGAATGGCTGAGCTACCTAAGCCATTCTGGGGAGAAGCTGTTCTAACGGCGTGCTACCTGATCAACCGATCTCCATCTATTCCTTTGGGCTTTGATATCCCTGAGAGAGTATGGTCCGGACATGATGTAAAATACTCTCATTTGAAGGTGTTTGGATGCAAAGCTTTTCCTTATGTAAACAAGGAACAGAGGCGAAAACTTGATGATAGAGCCATTCCTTGTACATTTTTGGGCTATGGAGATGAGGAATTTGGCTACAGGTTATGGGATCCAGAAAAACGAAAAATTGTCAGAAGCAGAGATGTAGTGTTCCATGAGCAAGAAACTATGTCTGATTCTGCTTCACCAGAAATCAAAGAACCAGGTGGTAAGGTGGATCTTTCACCTGTAGAACCTCCTAGAGATGCCACAGTAGGGGGAGAGTATGATGGAGAACTCAGGGTTGAAGATGAACCAGCAATTGAAGCTGGTGATGGTGAAGGTGTCGAACAAGAAGACCTCGAAGCTCTGCCTCAGCTCAGGAGATCAAATCGAGCGATCCAACCATCTACGAGGTACCCTAGTTCCACATATATTACCATCACGGAAGAAGGGGAGCCAGAAAGCTTTGGAGAAGTACAAACTCATAAGGATAAATCCCAGTGGATGAAAGCTATGCAAGAAGAAATGGATTCACTGGTGAAAAATGAAACTTATGAGCTTGTGAAGCTTCCGGAAGGCAGAAAAGCCTAGAAAAACAAATGGGTGTTCAAGCTTAAGAAAGATGGTGACAAGCTGTTGAAGTACAAGGCTCGCTTAGTCGTGAAAGGATTTGGACAAAAGCGAGGGATAGATTTCGATGAAATCTTCTCACCGGTTGTAAAGATGAGCTCTATTCGAGTAATACTCGGATTGGTAGCTAGCTTGGATCTGGAGCTTGAACAACTAGATGTGAAGACTGCATTTCTTCATGGAGACCTAGATGAAGAAATCTACATGGAGCAACCAGAAGGATTTGAGAAGACTGGAAAGGAGCACATGGTTTGCAGATTGAAGAAGAGCTTGTATGGTTGAAACAAGCTCCAAGACAGTGGTACAAGAAATTTGATTCGTTTATGGTGAGCCATGGATATACGAAGACTGACGCAGATCATTGTGTGTTCGTTAAGAAATTTCCAGGTGATAAATTCATTATCCTTTTGTTATATGTAGATGATATGTTGATTGTGGGACAAGACATGAAACTGATTGTTGATTTGAAGAAGGATTTAGCAAAGTCTTTTGAAATGAAGGATCTAGGCCCTGCGAAACAAATTTTGGGCATGCAGATCATGCGAAATCGAAAATCGAGGAGGTTATGGTTATCGCAAGAACGGTATGTGAATCGGATTCTGGAGAGATTCAACATGAAATCGGCTAAGCCGGTCAATACACCGTTGGCAAATCACTTCAAACTCAGCAAACGAAGTTGTCCTACGAGCCAAGAAGAAAAAGAAGCTATGGCGAGTGTTCCCTACTCCTCGGCAGTCGGGAGTTTAATGTATGCCATGGTCTGTACTAGACCAGATATCGCTTATGCGGTTGGAATTGTTAGCAGGTATCTTTCCAATCCTGGGAAAGATCATTGGGAAGCTGTGAAGTGGATTTTGAGGTACCTAAAAGGTAGTGCAAATAAATGCTTGAGCTTCGGTAAAGGAAACCCAATTCTTGAGGGTTATACAGATGCGGATATGGCAGGTGACCTGGATAGTATCTATTTCAGGGTTTGTGTTTACGTTTGCAGGAAGAGCTATATCTTGGCAATCTAAATTGCAGAAATCTATTGCCTTGTCGACTACTGAAGCCGAGTATATTGCACTGACAGAAGCAGGAAAAGAAATGCTTTGGTCGACTACTGAAGCCGAGTATATTGCACTGACAGAAGCAAGAAAGGTACGATATCCATTGTGATAGTCAGAGTGCATTGGATTTAAGTAAGAATGCGATGTATCACTCTCGCACGAAGCACATTGATGTCAGATATCATTGGCTACGTCAAGCAGTGGAAGAACAACAGTTCAAGTTGGAAAAGATTCACACTGACGAAAACCCTGCTGACATGATGACGAAAGTTGTAACAGGAGGAAAGCTTCAGCTTAGTGCCGAGTTGATCGGCATAGAATGCATGTAAAGAACTGCAGTAAATTACCCTTTGGCTGGAGGGGGAGAATTGTGGGATCCATCCAGCAAAAGCAAAGAAAAAAAAAAAATGATCCAGCACACTTTCGGTGCACATTTCGGTGCATCATTATGAAAAGACAAAAGAAAATATAATAAAATAATAAAAAGGAAAGGAGAATAAGGAAGAAGTGAGGAAGGTGTTGTTTGCCAATTTTCCCTATAAATAGAGGGCATTTGTCACAACTTAAGACACACCAAGCGAGAGAAAAGAGAAAGCAAGATAATAAGAATAATATTTCTTGTGAGTGTTATTTTTCAGTGAGAGAAAAATAGAGTGTTTGAGTAAATCCTGTGAGTGGAAAAAATACACCGGTCGGGTATCATCTCTATTACTCCTTGTTTGTAATATTTGTTTAGGAGTGGGGTCTCACTGGGTCACTATATTTTACATATCTAGTGAAGGGAGTGTGAAAAGATATTGTAATTATCTTGAAAATATAATGGAATTGTTCGGAGGTTGTCCGTGGTTTTTTCCTCTACTCTGGAGGTTTTTCCATGGTGTCATTTTTCTTGCATATTTTATTTATTTAGGATATTCTTAATATGCTCTGTGGTCGCAGTTTAATCTGATCTTCCGCATCAGAAAAGAATTATTCCTATTTGATTGCAAGAGAATTTTTTTTTTTTTTTATTCTTGAGTTGCTGGGATTATTATTTTTATTTACCATTTAACATTGGTGTTTTAATTTACATCTTCCGCATTTGTGCATCTGAGCCTAACACAAAACTCGTCTTTCACACGTTCCACATCAGTTAGACTATCTAATAGTTCGAACTTGGAAAGTCTAACATAACATAACACTATGATGCAATGGAAATTGTGTAATACTAATGATGCATGTTCATTAAAATGTTATGGATTAATCAAATCAAAAGAATATAAAAAACTAAGAAAACATTCATGAACACAAAATGCACAATAATGAGTTATGTATTTAGTTCTCATTTTATCTTATCCGATGCTTTCACTCATAGCAATTGGGGAGTTTCACTCTAAAACTAAACTTCCCTTCTATTTTTCATCATTTACATCTTTATGTCACTTGCAATCACTTCCCAGCAAAGGGCATCTCAATTTTTCACTCTGCCTCTCAAGAATTTTAACTTCCTTAAACATTACAGTACCTCAATCCAAACAGAGTCTTTCTTCATCAACCTCCTCGAAAAATCCACCCACAGAACCCACCTCACTCAAATCCATACCCAGCTGTTCACTCGTGGCCTGCAGAACAACGGGTTCATCATCACCAAATTCATCCACGCCGCAGGCTCGAAGCTCGGACAAATCGACTATGCCCGCAAACTGTTCGACGAATTTCCCCAACAGCATGTTTTCCTGTGGAACGCGATTATCAAGTGCTACTCGACCCACGGCATGCCAGCTGCAGTCCTCGACCTATACTCCGGAATGCAGTGGGCCCAAGTGAGCCCAGACAAGTTCACCTTCCCACTTGTGCTCAAAGCTTGTGCGGGCCTACGGGCCTTACGGTATGGCTGCGCGGCCCATGGGCAGATACTCAGGCACGGTCTGACAGAAGACGTTGTCTCACAAAACGGGCTCTTGTCGTTTTACATCAAATGCGGAGAAAATAACCGCGCACGTGTTGTTTTCGATATCTTGAGTGAGAACAACAGAAATGTCGTCTCGTGGACTTCGGTTATCTCGGGCCTCGCGCAGAACGGGCAGCCCGTGGAGGCCCTGAGGATTTTCGGTGGCATGATGGAGTCGAAAGTGAAACCCGACCAAATATCTTTAGTTAGTGTTCTCAAGGCGTGTTCGGATATTGACGGGCTTAGCCAGGGAAAATGCATCCACGGATTTGCAGTGAAAACGGGCTTCGAAACCGAGCCCGACCTGCAAATCGCGCTTACTTCTCTGTACGCGAAATGCGGGCACGTCGAAGACGCAAAATCCCTGTTCGACCGAGTGAAGGAGGGCAAAAACGTAATTCTCTGGAATTCCATGATCTCGGGCTTTGCCAAAAACGGCCGCGCCGAGGACGCGCTCGATCTTTTCTCCGAGATGATATCGAATAACGTGCGGCCCGATGAAGGAACAATACAGTCCTCCGTACGGGCCGTGGCCCAATTAGGTTCGCTCGAACACGCAAAATGGATGGACGAGTACGTATCACTTAGTAAATTCAGAAACGACGTGTACATTTGCAGTGGGCTAATCGACATGTACGCAAAATGCGGAAGTTTGGTTTTAGCCCGCGAAGTTTTCGACCGAATCCCGTTAAAAGACGTAGTCGTGTGGAGCTCGATGATGACGGGCCTTGCCTTGCACGGATTAGGAACTAAAGCAATCGATCTTTTCAATGAGATGAAAAAATCCGAGGCCCAACCCAACGACGTCACGTTTCTCGGGCTCATCACGGCGTGTAGCCACTCGGGCCTAGTCGACGAGGGGTGGAATTTTTTCCTATCCATGAAAGATTACGGGCTCGAGCCCAACCAAAAGCACTACGCGTGCATAGTCGATTTATTGGGCCGGGCAGGATATTTAGACAAGGCCCGCGATTTCATCAACAAAATGCCGGTCGATCCCGGCGTCTCGGTTTGGGGGGCATTGTTAAGCGCATGTAGGGTCCACCGCCATGTGTCACTTGCTGAACACGCGGCAGGTAAGGTTTTCTCGTTGGACCCGTTAAATACGGGCCATTACGTCCAGCTGTCGAATCTGTACGCTTCGAACCGAATTTGGTGCGGAGTCGAACGAGTGAGATTGTTGATGAAGTCGAAAGGGCTGAGCAAAGACTCGGGATTTAGTGCGGTGGAGATAAACGGGAAGTTTGAAGTTTTTCGAATGGGGGATAAGTCTCATCCGAGATCGGTCGAGATATATAAGAAGCTCGAGTGGTTGGAAATGAGGCTTTTGGAAAATGGGTTTGTCCCGGATAAGGAATCGGGTTTGCATGATTTGGATGGAGAAGATAGTGAGGCGATTCTGTGTGATTATTGGTGAAAGTGAAGGTAACTTCTGTTTTTTTTTGTGTTTTTTGGGTGACTGGAAAGGTTTTTGCCTTGGTTTCAGCTTGAATTTATGATATAGGTTTCGAAGGAGAATTGAGATTCAGTTAAACAAATCACAAAGACAAAGAAGTAGCATATATGCTCCACAGAACAACATTTACGTCAAAGTCACATCTTATTTTGTTTAATCTTATCATGTATCAAAAGCTTTTGACCAATATTACGATTCAGAAGTTGTTACTAATCGAGTTGAAATTTTTCCTCAACAGTATGTTCATTTGTCCAGTTTTGGTTTTTGATTGATTTACAGATTGCAAGCTTTAACCTGTTTTTGGTTAAGATACTTGCAGAATATAAAATACTGATTAGGCTAATCTATCATTTTCGGCAAATGGAACATCAGATTATTCCTTTAATCCTTAAACATATGAAATCATCAGAGGTCACTCATTTTAAGCAACTGTCAGGTAATCAATTCTGGAGGTGCTTTCAGAGATCAAAGTCTTGTGATCTTTATCTCATGGAAAGGGAGTTGGATGATGAAAGTGAAGTAAAACAACGACTATATCTTATTTCTGATATGTTTCATTATATTGAAATAGGTTTCATTAATTTCAATATTGACTTTTTTGTCAATATCTTGTTTCAATATTTGACTTTTTTTTCTTTGTGTTTTGGTTTTGCTATATGTTTTTTAGATGAATATTAGAGTGCTAGCTAGAATATCAGTGGCTTGTACTGTTTCATTCTTAAAAGAATTCTAACATTATTATTATTATTCATTTTCCCTTTGAGTTTGTGATTCGATCCATAACAGTTTTTGCTCGAAAAATAAACAAACCAACACGAACAATGTCCAAATGTAAACAAACACGAGTTCAAAATGCACAAATTCCACTCGTTCGATTTGATTACAACACTACCCCTATAGTACAAGATGAAAGGATAAAAACAAGCCAGATAACTCTCCATCTGAGTGGACTCCTAACCAATAGAGGAGGCATTAGGGAAGAGTAAAGCCAACTACTGAACAAACCATTCCCGATCAACCCGTCTTGAATTAGTTCATACTTTCACATGCATAACAATTTGTAAGTATGAACTAATTCAAGATGTGTCAAATGGAGAGATGCAATCACCAAGACAAGCCAAATCCTGGAATCCACAATCAGGGCAAACGACATTCCAAGAGTATATAANAGGAGACAGGTAGCATGATGCCGAAAAAAAAAAACAGAGACATCACACTGTTCAAAACTGACAATTTATATCTATGCTTCGGAAACGTGAACATATCTCACAAATTATAAAGAGCATGTTCACCATTATGAAGCAACACTTAGAAAATAGGGTTCAGTTTTGATCATAAGTTATCATAATTTTGCAAGAAATTTAAAGACTGTAAAAGCAATAAACCAGATTTTTACAATGAATCAAGAACTTGAGCTTCAGTGTGTGTAACAATCAGATCATTGATCACAACAATTTAGTTATAATCTCACTGAAATCCGCTAAGATAATACATTTTTTCATCACAAGCCCAGAACAAAAAGATGGTAGAAAATTAAGGAAAACAGCGAAAAGATTCCATTTTTGTTTTCAAAAACATTGAAAAATTTAAGAATAAGGGGGAGTGTGTGCTCAGACAGCCAAGGGTTAGTCTTCAAATGCAAGATCAGAAACTCTAGTCCACAATAATTGCATCATCACAGCACACAAATTAAAATCAAATCTAAAACAACAAAACAAAAGAAAAAATTCAACCCAATTGGAAAATCCGCACGACATAAAACCACAAAGAGTCCAAATCCTTGTTCTTTGTGGCGGCGCTCGGCGGCGCAGATGTGTAACAAGCGGATGAAGGGCGCCGGTACGAAGACACTGAAAGGATTTGCGAACAAAATGGCTGTATTTAACATGAATTTTGCGCGGCTGAGAGTAGGGTTTGCTAGGGTTTTATTCTTGTGATTTTTTTTTTTTATTATTTTTTGTAGAAATGCACAATTGGTCCTCCAAATGAATGTGTGGGCTCAAATTTATGGCCCTGATAAAACAAGCCTGTTTGGCTGGGTACATGGGCCATTGTTGTGTAAGTAAAATTCCGTCTGGCCCAAGCATAGACTTGGAATTTCCACAGGCCTAATTGAACAGTTGAACTAATTGTATGTTGATCACATGTTTTGCCAAAAAATGTATTGTGACTGTACACAATTAGAAGGTCAACCGTCACATAATGCATTCTTATATTATAAAAGGTTATATTATTATTATTATATTTTTTGTATAGTATAATATTTTAATTTAAAAATGTACATAATTGTTGAAAAAGTTATAATTGTCCAACTATTGGGTTTTTCTAACAAAAAAACATAAAAAGAAAATGTATTTACGGAAAACCTTACATCACACCCTTTCTAAATTTGGACTACTAATATATAACCACATTAATGTTTGCTTTCCGGGCCACATTTAGACCTTATTTAGTTAAATCTAACTGATAAGTTGGGTGATAGTTGATAAGTTAGTAGACAACATATAAATAAATTTCAAACTTATAGCAGATAAATTATAATTTATGACTGAAAAACTAACTTATATGATAAAAATATTTGGTAAATTAGCTGAGAAGCTTGCTAAAATAAAAATTTGAACGGTCTTATTTGAAAAGTTACCCAATGAAGCTTATGAGATAAGATTGGAGTTTTTTTTTTTAAAAAAAAAAAAATACGTCAGCAAAACGAAACTTATTTGCGTACATGAAACTTATAAACTATAAACCAGTTTATGGTGCTTACCAAACACAAGTTTTTCCTTAAATTTGTGTCTCTTCAACATAACTTTTTCTTTTCCTTTTAATTAATGTTTGTTTTAATGGTAGAACTAATTACAATTGACATATGTCCCCAAATTGAGTAGTACTCCATCCATTTTGAAGTATAAGGCATTTAAGGTTATTGCACAAATATTAAGGAGACATTAATTAATGAATAAATTGACTAAATTAACCTTATTTACTCTAATCACAACCACTCCACACTTCCTTAATTTCAACACAATGAGGGTATATTTGGAAAAAAATGCAAAAATTTGTCTTGATTTTTGAGCGCGCCTTATATTTCAAAAAAAATGAGAAATCTTTATACGCCTTATATTTCAAAATGGAGGGAGTAGTAACTTTAATTTACCAGATTGATTTTATTAACACATTTATCGAAATTATGTATTGGAAAAGTTTAGATTGATAGTTTTTATAATGTTATAATTAGAAGATTAATAGGCAAGGCAACTACATTTTTCCTAACCCAATTTGTAAACCATAATGTGTGTATCACATAATAAGAACCCTCAGATTCTATTTATTTTGTATAGGTGAAAGCTGGCACCATCATTGGAATTTGGAAGTAATGATTTAATTATATGAGCCCACTTAATTATAAATTATATATATGGACTATATCACTATTTCCAAATTCTTTTCTCATATATTATATCATATTTTAAACTTCAACTACCTATCATAACTTTGAAGAAAATCTCACTTTTGATCATCCCCAATTTGTGATCAACTACCCTTCTCCATTTCTAGGCTTTTCTTCAAGTCAATGCAACTACCCATTAATCCACATACACACAAAAGTACTTATATATAAATATTCCTCCCTTGTAAAGTTATGAACACACAAGTTTGGGGGCCTCTAATTTTTATAATGGCCGATGATCATTTGCAGAGATCCAACACAAATGGTGGTGCAATTGGCTTTTCCAAAGGTATATATATATAAATATATTTGTTAAATTAATGGCACTATATCATTAATATAATGCATGCATGACTGAGCTACGAATTGGATCGACCGAACACAATGGTGAACTGCCCATTAGTCATTTTTT